AAAGTAAATTTACTTTTACTCAATTACAATTTTTTAGTACTCTTTCCACCTCTGCTCACAGGTATATAGACAGTGGTTCAAAAACAAGGAAATAAGTTGGATGTACTCCAGTGACAATTTAAAACAGATCTCAATACAACACACTATTGAAAGCAGTGTAACTGTAAGTTTTAGTCAAAAATGTCAATAAATCTTCAGGAAATGTGAAATGCCTTAAAGTCAACATGATCAATCTCAAAGAATAAATTTTAAGCGGTTCTCAGAGATAAAGGTTTAAAGTAGAGTAAAAGCTGCTGGCAGTGCTGAAGAACTCTCACACTTGGGTACCATTTCAGTCTATGTTGCTGCATTGGTTATTACACATGGACACCTCAGCTGCACATTGCCAATAGGGCTGGGTAAAAAAATCAATTTAATCGATTTTGAATCGATTACTTTACATTTTTGCAGAATCGATGTCTAGGGAATGAGATTGATTATTTTTATAGTGACTAGCTTGACGTTCACCTTCAAATGAGCTAGAAAGATGCACGCAAGATGACTTCAAGCCAGACAGCTGCAACTATAGCCAATAAGTTGACTAAAGACATTAACAAATGGGGGCTGACCAGCAAACACCCTGTAGTTGTTACAGACAATGCCGCAAATATGGTTTCTGCAGTGGAGATAATGCAGCTCATGCATGTCTACTGTCTCTCCGCCGTGTCACGACTGCTCGCTCGAGTGAGGCTTCACTTTTTCACTTTTGAACAGTTTTGTTCACGTCTCAAGCTTAAACTGTCTGATTTACAAGTTTGCACTTTGTTTTTAATGTGACAGGAAAAAAATAAAATACATGATGAGTATTCTGACACACAGTTGAACCACTTTCATTATTTGAAAAACAGATCGAATCGAAATTAATCGATTTAGAACTGTGTTAATCAAAATCGAACCGATTCAGAACTTTGGCGAAAATACCCAGCCCTAATTGCCACTAGGTGGAGCTATAAGCAAACCGTGATGATAAATGATTCAGTCAAAATGATTTCGGTTCTTATGACGGTTTTGAAATTCGTCCCCAATCAGATCCTCCTAATTCTTTGAGGGCGAAGGATTAACTCAATCTCCTTGTCAAAGTGTGAAAATCAAATTATAAATGATCATTATACAAATAAAGTGTCATGCTCAGACATTCGCCTCAAAAACTTGTTCCTTTCTTTCCACTGCGGCACAAAAAATTCCAATTATTCTTTCAAACGGTGGACTTACATCTCGATGTGGTGGAGAGTGTCTTCGGTAGTTATCATAGCTGGAGTTTTCATCGTAGTACTGACTGTCATCAGATCGATAAGTGTCTTTGGTGTGATATCCTCTTCCACTATTGTAGTCACGAGGGCCCCTGTACCGCTGGTCATCATATCCTCTGTCAAATTCTGCCCCCGGTCGTGTCATAGGGTTCCTCTTCTCAACAATATTGACAACCCGGTGAACTGTAACCTAAAAGGACAATTTTAATATTGAACTTGAGTGGTTTTATTATAAAAAGTTTCAGTAAAAACAACCAAACGCTGCTGATCAAACAAACCCCATACCTCTCTTGCATCCTGTGGGGCAAACTGTTCTTCATATGCTTCTCTGATGGATTTTCGACCGTGCTGATAAGCCACTACAAAAAACAAGGACTTATATTCAAGCCTTCTAAAACATGGATTTCAATTTTTTACAAGGCCTTTAAAAATGATCAAATAAATTCTGAAAAGAAATACACCGCTAACCCTCTCCTGTCACCTTCTCTTTGTATAATCATTAAAACAATTATTATTTGCAAATAACCTCTATGAAATTCATGGATCAAAACATGGAAAACTGCCATTATTTAGACTTTAATTACCGTAAATTCCGGACTATAGAGCACACCTGATTACAAGCCGCACGCTCTAATTTTAGAAAGAAAATCAATTTTGTGCTTTTATAAGCCGCACCGGATTTTAAGCCGCAGGTTTCCCACTTTGTATGAGATATTTACAAATAAAGATATTACAAGTGAGCATTTTTTCAACGTTTGATTTAATCCATATGATAAAACAAACAAATACGGTAAATATTATGAAATCTTTTTTTTTTCAAACTACCTGTAACACGTATACGTATGTGTCGGTAACATGCAAATAACGCTGCATATACCGGTACTTTTAATTAACCAACGCACAGAACATTGCAGCTGACCAGGAAAAGTCATTAATCACTTTCTTCTTCCTCCTGCGCACTAAAACCCTCAAAGTCCTCTTCCTCGGTGTCTGAATGGAACAGCTTCAGGATGCCGTCACCGACTTCAGTCTCATCCTTGTCGCTCTCACCTGAGCACTCGCGGTCCTCTTCATCCCGCAGCAGGGTTAGGGTTTCGCGCCATGAAAAAAAACATGTATTAGCCGCACTGTATTATAGGCCGCAGTGTTCAAACAGCGGGGAAAAAGTAGCGGCTTATAGTCTGGAATTTACGGTATGTTTAGCACAGCTCTCAAGACATTTCTATTATTAAAGTTCAGCAGTGATAAAATGTAAACAGAAGACCGGTATATGATTTGCAGTTTTCATTCAACATTCAGCACTTTTTTTTAGGGATGCACGATATTGGGATTTTGGCCGATATCCGATATGCCGATATTTTAAAACTCATGTCG